TTGTTGAATTGAAGATGAGAGTTTATGAAAAATAGAATAGGTGTGTATGGTATATATAGAAGAATAGGAGAGGATGGATGGGAAGAAGTCATAACTACTAACCGTAAGATTAGACCTGGCCTCATTATTGACTTTTCTCAACGTTCAACAGGGGTCACTAAGTAGTAAAGCCAACCAACTACTCTTGCCCACATGAATATTTTTTATACCTACCTGTAATAATCCATGTTGTAGCTTCTAATAACTATTGTACCTATTCCTAGAACAAGACTTATCAAGTTGATATTCTAATAACTATTGTACCTATTGATAGAAACACATGACTGTTGTGTATGTAATTTGATTTATAGACCAATATCAAAAATGTCTGATTTGATCTTGTTCTTCTAATATGAAATTGTTTTCTTATATTTAACAGAATCAAGATGACTAATGTTAGTTACTTGCCAATTTATGCAACGTCCGAGAATACGGTTTCAACCCCTCTACCTACCGTCTCTAATGAAATGCCACCTCCTCACACTAAGAAGCGAAAGAACCATTCAGAGGCTTGGAATCATTTCATTATATCGTCAGAAGAAGAACAAAAAGCTTCGTGCAAGTACTATGACACAAAAATTAAGTATAATAATGGAACTAGTTCTATGCATGCTCATTTATCAAGATGCCTTGTTTACAAGAGAAAAAGGACATCATCTTCTATGACAAGTTCTGAAGAACATGTTGGCTCTCCTTTAATTGTCAAGTTTGACCAAGAAGCTATTCGAAGAGCAATGGTTAAGATGTTCATTAACATGGAGATTCCTTTTCGGAAGGTTGAACATGAGTCTTTTCATGAATTTATGAGTCTCGCTTCACCAAGATTTCAGATTTGTTCGCGCACAACATTGGCACGTGATGTCTTGAAACTATGGGACACAAAAAATAATTTTGAAAAACTTTCTCTCTCTAAATTGTCAAAGAGTTTGTCTCACCACTGATATGTGGACTTCTTGTCAAAAGTTGAGCTATATGTGTGTAACGGCCCATTTCATTGACAATAATTGGAACTTACAGAAGAAGATCTTAACTTTTTGTCAAGTCACAAGTCATACAGGGGATGCTATTTGTGAAACAATAGAGATATGCTTGAACAATTGGGGTTTAAACCTCGTGCTTAGTTTGACGGTTGATAATGCTTCATCTAATGATGTGGGGGTTGAACGTCTCAAGAGAAGGCTTTTGTCTAAGAATAGTTTAGTTATGAGTGGAAACCATTTTCATATGAGGTGTTGCGCACACATATTAAATTTAATTGTGAAAGAAGGTTTGAAAGACATTGATGATTCTGTTTATAGAGTTTGTCATGTTGTTTGGTATGCTAGATCTTCTCCCGCGAGGCTCGCTAAATTCAAGGCATGTATTGATGAGGAGAGCATGGACTATAAAGGTTTAGTTTCTCTAGATGTTGAGACTCGTTGAAATTCAACTTACTTGATGTTAGTATCTGCATCAAAACATGAAAGAACCTTTGAAGAATTAGGTTTTTGAAATAAAAGGTATGTGAATTAACTTTGCAATTATATACAGCTAGTTAGTTATTCTGTTATGATAGTTATAAAGGTGATAAAAACTTTATATATTAATGGAAACTAACACAATAACACTTTATTGTTGTTGCCGTGGCTATTCTAAAATTATGCAAGTACATAATTTATCTTAGTGTAACAAGTAATAGCTACAACAACTAATTACATTGTCATAAGTTATAAAAGGGTTATTGAAGACAATATGTCAACCATGTATACTTTCCTCTCTAAGCATTTAGTAAGAAACTTCACAGGACTAAACTATTTGACATTTTATGTTTTAAGGAAGAATTTATATAAAGTTGAATTGATGTTGAACATTTTATGTTGTGCTAGATATGTGAATGAGTTGACAAAAAAGGGAAAAGGTGTCCCGATGAAAGACGATTGGAAGCATATCAACTTAATCATTCCATTCTTAAAGTTGTTTTATGATGCTATTGTACATATATCAGGGTCTTCTTATTTGACAAGCAATATTTATATATTTGAGGTCTTGGGTATTGGAAAGAGCATTGTGGATATGTGTGCGTGTGAAGATGAACATCTACGTTCAGCATCTCAAAAGATGAAAAAGAAGTATGATAAGTATTAGGGATCTCATGAGAAGCATAACATGATGTTGTTGATTGCTCTAGTTTTTGACCCTAGACGCAAGGTTAGATTGATTGATTGGATGGTACGACGATATTATAATAAGGTTGATGTTGATGCCTTCAAAGAAACCTTATAGTCTTGCTTGAAATCTATTTATGAGGAATATTGTACTGGGTTTATGCCTCCTCAAGGTAATCCACATGAGTCGCAAGTTTTTGGTAATGTTAGTCATCCATACGAAACTGCTGAGTTTTATCTTTCAGAAGGGTGTGACAATGCAGATAATGAGTTAACCACTTATTTTGGAGAGAAGTTAGAGCATAACATGGAGATAAATATTCTCGAGTGGTGGAAAGTAAATTCTGGTCGTTATCTCATCCTTGCAAACATTGCAAGAGACGTGCTTGCTATACCAATAAGCACAGTGACGTCTGAATCTTCATTTAGCATAGGAGAAAGGGTGCTTGATTCATATCGCAGCTCATTAACACCAACAACTGTCGAAGCACTGATATGCATCCAGGATTGGCTCAAAGGAACATCTTCATCATTGATTACAAATAAAATTTTTGATATTCTTGAGAGATTGGAGCAAGGTATGATAACTAAGTATATTCGCTAATATATTATTATTTATTATACTTGAGGCATAATGAAATGTATTTATATATTTTGTAGAATTACTTTATACAAAAGATGGTGCTAGTTGTTCAACCTCTTCAACCTCTGTTGCGCTCGAAGAGGACTTAACGGTAAAGAATTCTAAAGTTTTATATATGCATTTTCTTTCCACTCTTGAGCTACAATTTCACTTATGTCAAAGAATTCACCAACTATTTCACTTGTGTCAAATAATGAATTGTGGCTCTGTTGCAGATTTGATGGAAGTGTTCAGACAATTGGGTTTTTGTCATCAGAGAGGAGAATTATGGTGGAAGTATAGGAATGAAATGTCTTTCAGAAAATTGTGTTACTAAAGACAATCTTGAGAATCTGTCTCTTGATACCCCTATAAATTTACAATGTAACTTTAAGATTTTAAATCTTGTTAGTTTTGTGAATTAGTGAAGGATGTTGCACATTCCCTATATAATCAACAAGTATTGTGTCAAAGAATTCACCAACTATTTCACTTGTGTCAAATAATGAATTGTGGCTCTACTACCATAATTTTTGAGAAATTACTTTACTATATCTTAAGGTAAAATCACATATCATATGTTTTAAAATTGTCAATGACCATAAATTTTGAGAAATGACCATTTTTTTTAAATTAGTGTTTTTAACATAAAATAATTTTAGAACTTTTAAAAATAAAAAACTATTTTTGATATAAAACTTTATTTTTTTAAATTGGTTTTAAAATTGGTTTTTTTTTTATAAAATTGATTTTGAAACTGATTTTTTATAAAATTGGCTTTGAAATTGATTTTTTAAAGAAAATTAAAAATTGATTTTTAGAAAAATCAATTTAAAATTGATTTTAAAAAAAAAAATTGATTTTTGTGAGAAACCAATTCAAAACCGAACCGATCTACATGTAAACCAATTTTAAAAATATAAACCGATTTTAATGAAGTAGTTTTAAGATCCAAACTAAATCATATATGATTCAATTTAGTTTTGTTATTAATCGATGCACACCCTACATACTCCTACCCACAAACCGCACACTCTCTCTGTTCCGCTAATTTCCTCCGCTCGACACCCATACAAATTCCATTTCCTCTCCACTTCCTCTCACCTCACGACTACTCTTCATCACCGCTCATCATTGTTCTCCGATCCAACGAGACTCTTCATCAACATCACCATGGCTACCGCTTCATATCTCCCACCTATCTGATTTCGTCGATATCCAATCACTCATAGAAACCAGCGCAACAGTCTTCCACCGCATTTCATTCTCTAGCATCCAACATATCTGCGATTCAACTCACTCCGTTCTGCAGCCAGTACCTCCGTCAATCCCAACGCTTCTCAGCTCGACAACTCCGTCATTGGTAAGCTTGTCGACACTCTTTAATATGTTTTGGCTCTGATGTGTTTTTTTGAATTGTGCTACGTTGAAACTAGTTGAGCAAATACTTGAATTGTTATGCTGTTTCGATTTTATTCGAGTTACAAATTGATAAAATCTGCATTGAATTTGGCTGAAACGATTTGTTAGATTATTTTGAAGTTGTTTGTCGAATCCTCTGAATTTCTAATAGACTAATTCTGTTTTACTTCTGATGTGCTAGTTTGTTAGACTGTAGAAGCAGTTTGTTAGGCTGTAGAAGCAGTTTGTTAGGTTGTAGAAGCAGTTTATTAGGCTGTAAAAAGCAGTTTGTTAGGCTGTAAAAAGCAGTTTGTTAGGCTGTAGAAGCAGTTTGTTAAGCTGTAAAAGTATTTTGGTAAGCTCTAAAAAAAAGTTTGGTGCTATTATTTAGAAGTGAATCTGATTTGCGCTTATGACTGAGTTGGAACATGTTTTCGATTTGTTTTTTTAGAGTTTATTGAATCGAGTACGATTTGTGTTGAAGTTGAACACTAAGTTTAATCGGTTATAATTTGTGAATGCTAATATTGGCGTCGTGTTGAATGATGTTGGAATTGTTGTGTGATGAAATCAATTGAAGTATGGACTGTTATCCATATTAATTGTGTTTGAGTGGTGAATTCAGGTTTTAACTTTCAAGCTGTTTTGAAACTGTTGATCCGTGTTGTTTGAATGTTGGGTATTTGTATTTTAATTCATCCTGTTTTTGTTAAGAGGCCGATTGGACATTTGAACGACAACATCCTTCTTGTTGATTTCAATTGAGCGAGGTTTTGAAATTTTTAGCATGTTGTTTAAATCGATTGGAAGAAGTTTTGTTTGGTTTTTTGTTGAACAATTTGTTTCAATTGCGGAGGTAATTCGGGTGGCATTATTTCATTGTTTCCTTTTGCGCTAAAACATGTTTGGTATTGAGAGTTTGAATGTTGTTTCATACGTATAGCTGCTGCCCGAATTCGGTTTGGTGGAGTAAAGGGTTGCTTAGAACTTGGTTTACCATGTTTGGAATTGAGTAGTATCATGAATTCTTGGTTCTTATTTGTGTAAATATTCATATGTTCATATGCATTCATGCAATTTCATTTCAATTTATACCTTGTGATTACTAATACATGTTCTAATTGTTGCAATTTCATTTGGTTCCATTTTTATCCCGCTTATGCTACTAACGAGTTTGTTATTGTGAAAGTTTCCAAGAATTGTTTCAAGCATTCATTCTCGCATAGCGCATCTATAATTTTTCTTCATTCCCTTTTTATTGTATTTTAATTTTACTATTTCCATTAATATTTAGTAATGTAAATATATAATTGTACATAATACTTTTGATTTTATATTTTATTCACTTAACTTGTAAATAAATTCAGGTTATGTAAATATTCTTTTCATTGCATTGCGATTTTAAATTTTAATTCAAGTTAACTTTTGAAAATCGTACGAACGCATTTAAGTTTCCCCGTGTTGTTGGATTTGTCTGTATATTTCATGTGATGCAGGTTTTCTTATCCGATATCGTAAGCTTTATTTGGTATCTCGAGCCTTATCCGGTACCATGAGCTTTATCCATCACCTTTGCGCTTTATCTGATTCCTCTCGGGTTGATTCACGCTTTCTTCGTCCGTGATTTATTTTCATGTGTTGCACTCCTCGCTCATGATTCAATGCGCTTTATTCGATGCTTAGAGTATTATCTTACATTTGGGTTTCTTTAATGTCGTCGGCTTGTGATTTATTTTCACCTGAGGTTTGGTATACTCTTAACTTATTTATCCATCTGTGACTTTAAACCCAAATGGATGGGAATACGGTATTGACTTTATCATATCAAGTACTGATTTCTTATTCGATCAGATCCTCTTTACTTTATCTTTTACCCTCCTGTACATAGGACACTCTCTTCACCTCTTCTCCCATTCTTTAATTTTTAAAACCTTCTCATCTTTTTCAAAATCTTCTTGGTTTATAAAATCAAACCGCTTTCATAATAAACCTCAACTTTGTCGAGTGCCTTTTCTTTTAAAAAAAATTCTTTTCCTTAAACAAACTTCAATTCATATAATCATACTTTGACATTTTTTTTCTTCAAAATTAACAAAAACACTTCAACTCATTCAAATCTTTTTATGCGCTCTAGCACCTTTACCCTTTAAAATTTTTTTTTTCAAGATTAGACATGATTCATTTATAGTCGAGCAACATTCTCATATCTCCATGGTCATAAAGGTGTCAACTTTTCCACTTGAGTACTAGAGGCGTTCTCAAATCCTCACTCATGCTGATGCAGGGTCCATCTTTCCCACACCTTGTGGGCGTTAGTCGAGATTTCTCTCCTAAAAATGACGACTTGTCTCTTCGTTTAAAATCAAATAACAAACAAGTCTTTCTAGCCGAACAATGATGCTATGACTTTCCCATTGCACGAGGGAGTACGTAGGCACTAAGTCTTACGACTCAAGGCGAGCAAAAATAATAAAAACATTTTCTTTTGTTTGCAAATATTCATTAATTCTTTCCCTTTTAGCAAGTTAAGCCTTTAGATAACACACCTTTTAAAAGAAAACAAACAAAGTGGATCCTGCAGAGTACCGTAGATGCTTAGGATGCTAATACCTTCCCTTTACATAATCGACCCCCGTACCTCGATCTCTGATCTTTTATTTCATTGTGAGTTTTGTTCGCTTTTTTCCCATTTCTCTTTGGAAACAATAAAGTGAGGCGGCGATTTCATTGAGCAAGTTAAGTTAATTGATGACTTAATCTCAAATCTTTACCGCTACATTTCTTTTGTCCGCATTCAGTTTTCACACGGTGCGACACTTACAAAAAAATCCATTGTATTCCCAAACTCATAAACACGAGAAATTGTCGAATGAAAATCAAGTAACACTAATCCCTGTGGAGACGATATGATATAACCTATAAAAATACTTACTTTTGCTTGTCGCTTTACCGCTTCAGCAAAGTGGCGTCGTTGCTGGGGATTGGTGTTTATTGTTTTGCATTGTGATAGTTTCTTTATTTTTGAGTTTTTTAATTAATATATATGTTGTATACAATGTGTAAATAAACTTGTCTATTTTTACTTGTACATGTTTTGTGTTTACTTTCCATACTTGTGCATATATGTGTTTTTCTTTGTTTTCACGTATTGTTGTGAATTATCTCGTTTTTGTGAGGTTTATTGTGTGGTTGTTAGGACACTTTCTTTAGGTTTGCACGATGTGATAATACCATGGCATGACGAGAGGAGGTTACTAGCTTGCACAATAAAAGCGTCGAGCTTACGATTTAAAACAAGCATGTTTTTGTTCGTTTATATTATGTGTTGACTTGTGTTTTAAACAAGTTGAAACTGGACCTATTTTAAATTCTCAAATTTTCACTTTTCAACTTGTTTAATTCACTTTCACCCGTTTGATTTGTTATATCAATTTGTGTTTTTCCGCAAGCTTGTCGTGTTTAGCTTGAGGTCTGTTGTCGATTGTAAATATTATGTACATTGAGGTTGTGTAGGTGTAAGTGGAGCTTGCATAGCAGCTTCACCCTCTGTTTTTGTTTAACTGGTGTAGTCCGCTTAGCGCGCCCTGCGGTGCAGAGCCAGTGAATTATTTTTAATTTTTTGCTTGGTCTCCTTTTTCCCACTCTCACATAGGCTTTTTAGATTAGTACATAATAGAGTTATTTTTCTAATTCTTTTGTTTGTTTCTTGGACTCCAAATTTGGTCCGATTTCTTGAGGAATTTTAAAGCGATTTTCCAAGTCTGTACGCTTCAACTTGTGGATGTATGGTAATGATAATATTTTGAAGTTGGTACACGACAAGTACTCATTTATCGCTTTCTAGAACATAGTATGTTTAAGAGACTTCTCTTTTGTACAAATTTTCATGTCATTCATTCTTTTGCAATTTGTGTTCACTTTTGAATCACTTTAGGACTAAACCCCTTGTGAGGTTGCTTTGCATTGTTTACTTTATGCGCGGGAGACCGAAAATTTTGTCTTAACTCAATTTTATTATGTTTAATCTTGCATTTATGTTGATTCGTAGAAAAGCATGAAACTATCAAGGCGTTTTATTTGATTTTGAGAAAAACCACCTAACCAAAAGTAATTCACCTTGTGAATAAGCGATCATTTGTGAATTCCTTTGAGCCTTTTAGTTAGAATACATCATGGATTATAATATTGTTTGTTGGTACTTAACCCTCAACCAAGTATTGTGGTTGAATTTTTCCTTGCCTTAGAAAGTGAGATCAATTTGTCATTATGCGTAGTCGTGTTTAAGTTGGGAAGAGCAATGTTGCTTGTTTATAAGATGGTTGTTTGAGGTTGAAAATAAAAAACATGGTGGAAAAAGAAAAAGAAAGAAAATATGGTGAAAAAATAAAAAGTGTGTGAAATAGAAAAGAAAAAGAAAAAAAAGAGAACATTTTTTGAAAAAGAAAAAAATGTATCAAATAAAAAGTTTTGTGTTGGTGTAACATTTTGGAAAGTTGAAAAGTTAATTGAGAGGTGTTTGAGACTTTGTGAATTGATAACTCCCATAGGATTGATATTGTTGTTTGTTTCAATTACCTTTAGATATCAACCCTTCCTTGTTACCCAAGCCACACTACAACCCTTGATGCCCTTGTGATTTTGCTTTTGTGCTTTTCAATATGAATTTGCTTTGATGAATGCATAATTTAGTTGTTGTTAGCAAGACTGTTGGGTGAGAGTTGAACACCTCATATTTGTGTTTTTCATCTACCAGTGAAGTGTGTGCTAGGTGTGATTCATTTGTGAATATTGTATTTTTTAAAGAATTTTTGACATGTGGTTTGTATTTAGGATTTGTTTCATTTTCATGTTATCGTTGTAGTTTAGTGGCAAGTTTTTGCCTTGTGTGTGTTGGCGGTAGAAATGTTTAAGACTAAGCCATTGGATTGACTAGACTTATATAAATCAAAATAAAAATCGTCACCGCGCTTTATTGTTTCCAAAGAATGGGAAAAGAGCGAATAGCCCAAAAAGAAGGGGAAAGATTCTAGGTAAGAGGGTTGATTATGCAAAGGGAAGATATCAGCATCCTAAACATCTACGGTACTCCGCAGGAACCTCTTTGAAAAATCTGTATATTTTGGCTATGGAAAATGTTGTATAAAATAGATGGTGGAGGTGGAAAAAGAAAATATTTTTTTATGGTTTTTATACCCGTCGCGGTTGCGAATCTTTAGTGCATACGTACCACCTTTTCGTGCAATAGGGGATCAGGGTGCACATAGTTCCTCTTTTAAAAATTTAGAACATAAATGTGTTGGTCAATTTTATGAGATAAAACATCATCGTCATTGTCCGTGTGGAAAACATACCTACTACCCACAATCATGAGAAAGGATAATTTGCATCATCTCAAAGTGGAGGATATGACTTGGATTTTAAAATCAACAATGCTTCACTCAACACCCAAGTGGAAAATATCTCTCTTTACTATATATTATAGAAGTATAATTTTTTGCATCACTACAAGGATTGTCAAGAGTTCAATATTTTGAGAAAAGTTTAAAGATAAAAGCCAAAGTGGCAAGATGGTTTGAAATAAGATTGATTAACTTTTAGTTTTCTCACAAAAATGTCAAAGTATTATTAAGTTTATTGGAGTTTATTTATAAAAATGTTTGAAAATGCATGGACCTAAGTCCAAGTTTATTATAAAAGTAATTCAAGTTTAAAACAAGAAGAGTTTTGAAAAGGGGGGAGAAGATTTTTTGAAATTAAAGAAGATGGGAGGAGAAGAAGAGGCTATCCTAAAGCAAAAGGTAAAAGCTAGGGATAAGAACCATCTAACCAACAAGTAGCCAATACTTGACACTATGAGCCAAAATAGAATTTGCATTCTTTGGATTGAAACCAAACAAGCAAATGATACTCGACCTCTTGGAAAAACCAAACTTCAAGTGTATTAAGTCTTTACAAAAATTGGACAGAGTAACGGCTGTATACAGGTGAATTTTAGATTACAAACCAAGGGTGTAATCACAATAATCTGCACACAAAACAAACAAACAACCCAATGTCTTGAGGTAAACCTCAA